AAAGGTCCATTTCACATACTAGTATATATATTTATAGAGAAATTGAGAGGGGTATGGAGAAAAATAGATAATTCTCTAACTGTGAAACTCCTTGATGAAAGGGAAGTAGACGTGTTGATAAAAGGGGGTGTGGAGGGAGGTCACAGTCCAATATTGCAGGTATCAGTGAAAGATTTTGAGAATCTCTGCCAAGCTACCGAGTGGGGAAAGGGAAATATCTGTCAGGGCCATGCAAGAGAAAATATGTTTATCATCCTCATTAACCAATAATTTGTTTTTCTTTCTTTCTTTCTTTTTTTTTTTTTGTATTCAGTTAGCCACTGTATAGTACATAATTAGTTTTTGATGTAGTGTTCAGTGCTTCATTAGTTATGTATAAGACCCAGTGCTCATCACAGCCTATGCCTTCTTCAGTACCCATCACCCTGTTTCCCCCTCCCATGTTCCCTCCCCTCTGAAACTGCCAGATTATTTCTCAGGGTCCATAGTCTCTCATGGTTCATCTCCCTCTCTGATTTCTCCCTCTTTGGATTTCCCTCCCTTCCTATATGGTCCTCTGTGCTATTGCTTATGTTCCACATAGGAGTGAAAACATATGATAATTTTCTTTCTCTACTTGACTTACTTCACTTAACACAGTCACCTCCAACTCCATCCATGTTGATGCAAATGGTGAGCATTCATCCTTTCTGATGGCTGAATAATATTCCATTGTGTATATGTACCATATCTTCTTTATCCATTCACCTGTTAAACAGCATCTAGGCTCCTTCCACAGTTTGGCTATTGTGGACATTGCTGCTAGAATATTGAGGTGCAGGTGCCCCTTCTTTTCACTATGTCTGTATCTTTGGGGTAAATACCTAGTAGTGCAACATGAATCCATCAAAATCCTTGAGGGGAACATAGGCTGTAACCTCTTCAACATCGGCCACAGTAACTTCTTTCAAGACACGTCTCCAAAGACAAGTGAAACAAAATCAAAAAAACTTCTGAGATTTCATTAAGATAAAAAGCTTCTCCACAGCAAAAGAAACAGTCAACAAAACTAAGAGGAAGCCCATGGAACGAGAGAAGATATTTGCAAATGACATTATAGATAAAGGGCTGATATCCAAGATTTGTAAAGAACTTCTCAAACTCAACAGTCAAGAAATGAATAACCCAGTCAAAAAATAGGCAGAAGACATGAACAGATACTTCTCTAAAAAAGACATACAAATGGCTAACAGACACATGAAAAAATGCTCAACATCTCTAGCCATCAGGGAATACAAATCAAAACCACAATGAGATACCACCTTACACTAATTAGAATAACAAAAATTAACAAAACAGGTAACAACAAATGTTGGCAATGATGTGGAGAAAGGGGACCCTCTTGCACTGTTGGTGGGAATTCAAGCTATACAGCTACTCTGGAAAAAAGTGTGGAGGGAATAGAGCTACCCTCTGACCCAGCAATTGCACTACTGGGTATTTACCCCAAAGATACAGACATAGTGAAAATGATTTGTTTTTCTAGTGTTAGATTAGTTTTCCTTTTTTGTTTCATATATTTTCCTTATTTTAAAGTTTAATTCTTATTTTTAATTATTTCAGTAATAACAATACTTGATAAATAAAAATTAAACAAAAATTGATAAATATTAGCTACTAATGCTGAACAACATGAAATGGCCTTTTTGAGAAAATCAAGTATTAGCCATTGTATATGACTTAATTTTACATATGTTATAGCATGAATCTAGTCTTATTCTGCTTCCCTAATTTAGCCTCACTTGAAGTAAATCTATGTAATCTACCTTTGATGTTAACAAATCACAAGTCATCTGGGAATAGGACTGACTTACTATAATTCTTGGAATAAAATTTAAAACTTAAAAAAAGTAGCTATTAATTGTACCTAGTCAACATTTTCAGTGTAAAATATATTTACACATTTATAAACTATTTCTAAGTAGTCAACTAGCTTTGTTTTCTCTAGATGAAATAATTCTAAGTATTTTAACATTTCATTTTTCCAGGCTTTTAATCATTTGTATTTTTATTGAATCTTTTCAAATTGTTTTAGTTCCTTTTTAGTTGAGGAGCCTAAAACTAATTACCATGAAGAATTTAACCAATGATAATTATAATTTTTAAAACTGTCAAAATATGATAAATTTTGAATGTTAATTTTACATTCATTATATTGAAATTTTCCTGTGAAGTTTATTTCTAGAATCATTTAAGGTTGTACTACACACTTTGAATCCTAGACCTTTTGTTTTCCTTGCATATAGAAATACATCCCACATCTTCTATTACAGATAAGAATATCAAATACATTCTCTTCTATATTTCTGTTGATAATTAAAAGTTTAGTGTATTTATCAATATTTTGAAGAGAATTTTTTTTTCCTAAGGGAGGAGGGACATGCCTTGGGGATTGTGTTGGCAGTTTAGAAAATGGATGGAGTTAACATGGGAAGCTGAAAAAAAGTCTTGAAACATACAGACAGATGAAACAACTCAGGACAGGTTGGGCAGTAATTCAATGGAAATCTTCCATTTTGCCTGGATGACAATGGATTAAAAGGGTGTTGATGATATGCATAACAGATTGTGCCTTTATTCATATATTTGCTTGGTGAGAAAAGGAGGCAATGCTCAGATCTTCAGATTAACAAATGCTTTTGTGGGGCGCCTGGGTGGCTCAGTGGGTTAAAGCCTCAGCCTTTGGCTCAGGTCATGATCCCAGGATCCTGGGGCGCATCGGGCTCTCTGCTCAGCAGGGAACCTGTTTCCTCCTCCTCTCTCTGCCTGCCTCTCTGCCTACTCATGATCTCTGTCAAATAAAATAAAATCTTTAAAACCAAAAAGAAACAAATGCTTTTGCAAGCAAGAGATTTATTCTTTATATATAATATATATATAAAGATATATATAAAATCTTTATATATATAAAATATGTGAAGAAATATGTATATATGATATCTTTGTATATATAAAATATATAAAGATATATATATCTTTGTATCACATCAGTGATGTTGAAGACTGTCATGTAGAATGTTATTAACATCCTTGTTATTAAACCTGTTGAAATACATGCTCATAAGTATACTGTTATACTCTGTGTTTTAACATAGTGATGACTAGAAAGAATCTTAATCAAAAGTGGTTGACAAATGATGCAAATTTAGCAAGACTTATAAAATATATTTAGGTTGTTTTGGATAATTTACCAAAGAATGGGGATTGGTCAAATCATTATTATTTTCTGTGTGAGAATAGGCTGACTTTCACAGACTTTCTATCCTCTTCCTATTTTCTTCTCCTCTTCCCCCTTCTTTTCTTCCTTTTCCTCTTCTTTTCTTTTATCATTCAAACAAGCATCAGGCCTTGAAAGTATGCCTATTTCCATGTCTTAGAGATATCTCTTTGGCTGATGTGAGCTTGAACAGTACTGCTTGCATACCTTTCTAGCATTTTTCATTCTTATCCCCCCTCAGCAGAAGTATTATGGTGTTATGCAATGACAGTCCTTTATGGTTGTGGGAGCCAATATAAGTGGGGGAAGCTTGCATGTGGGAATTTGGTTATAAATAAACTTTGTATTATATTCTTTGTATTGAATTTAAGGTTTTGTTCTTGATATTGCCACACATTTTCTCTTTTGTTATAATAGGGTCATTTGCCTGTGGAGAAGCAAATGATTAATGATATCCCCTAATAAACATTTCAATATCTTTTAAAGTATTTTGCTTTCTACTTATACGTGGTAATATTAGTGACAGGAGTGGTGATTGTGTATAGCAGCAGGTATGTTTGTAAAAAAGCATCAATTTATATTATGTACTTGAACAATTGTTATGCTTCAGTGGCTGAAAAATGACAACAGTCCTCTAGGATACATCTTCAAAAATGGTTTCAGGAGAATGTTAGACTATTTTATAACTAGTCATTTTAAATTCAAATACTTAATAAAACTAATAAGTCATATTTGAGGTTGAGATATCATCCTTAATTTAGGACAGGCAGCCACCTATTCTCTTTACTTTAATATTGGAATCCATTTTATAACACTACTAGAAAAGTCTGTTTGTCATAAATTGTGTCTTTTTAGCCATCAATTATCTTACACTTTTGTTCTCAGAATTGTCCTCCATATCCTTCTTTTTATAATCCAAAATTTGGTGTTTGAAATTAATCCTAAAGTAACAGATTAGGATGGGTGACAGTAGTTACATTGTCAAATTTTGTATTTGTGTGACCAAAATTCAAATTATTTTAGGCACTGCAATAAACATTAGGCAAATTATACTAACTGGAGTAATAGCTGTATAAAACGAAGAACCATCAAACTCTGTTCCTCTTGATAGAACTATAAAATCTCTGTTAAGTTCTATAAAACATAGGTAGTTGAATCATTTAAATTATCATCTAAACTAGAATGCTGGGACACACTTACACTGAGACTGTGTGGACAAACCATGACATATGGTTACCCTAGTTCTGGAACCCTAATAAGCTGATCCTGCCAACTGGTGAAGAATAAATACTTATCACCTTGAAGAAAACTAACTCAGAGCTTGAAATTGACTCTTGTGGAAGACAGTGATCTTTTAATATTAAAACTGCTATAGAGAAATTTTCATTTTTATTTTCATTCTGAAATGAAATTGTGGAAAAATGACTGGAATAAATATGACTAAAGGACATCCTCTAAAACATCTTGTGTTCTACTTTGTCTGACCAAATATTTTTTGTTCTGTGCCTATTATTATCTTGAATAGCTCTTAAGTATTTTTAATGTTACTTAATTCTGTCTATTTTAAATCCCAGAAGACATATTATCTTCGACTTGTTATCTAGCAGCAACTTCATATTTGTATTACCATTAATTAATAATTATGATTGCTTAATATTTTCATAGATTATGAAAATGATTCTTCAGTTACAAATAAAAAATTTTCTTCACATAATCTAATACCAGATGTTTTGTAATTCTAAAGCTCAGAGAAGAAAAGAGCTAGCTCTGCTATTTCAGATCTTTCACAGATCCTAAAGTCTCAAGATGGATCAGCTTTTTTAAGGAATTCAAGTGAAGTTTCAGCTGATAAAGACCTATCCCATATACTTCCATTAAAGACCCATGATAAATCATTAACAAGACTATTATCAAAGGAAGAGATTGAAGATTTACTGTCTGCCAAAACATCACTTCAAGGGAATGAAACAGCAACAGCATCATTCATTTCACCTCCTGTTCTTACCAAAAGAAAGCCAATGGGTAGTGACCTTTCAAAGGTAAGATATAGTAAAATAATTTGAAAGCTGTTTACCTTGAATTGCTAGACTCTTAATATTTTAAGCAAATGTTAATTAAAACTCAACATTTTCTTATTTAAAGGGAATAAAAAGTTTGCCTTTTAATACTTTATATTTAGGATGTTTAAATTAATATTTGAGAATCAGAGTAATATTTTAACAAAAAATTCTAGCTGTATTGACAAAGAAGTTGTGATTTAAATTAGAGTTTTAATGATAAAATATACACAATTCCTAGCTGAGATAGGGAAATTTTCATTTCTAGAAATTCATCTAGAAAAAGTATTTTTATATAGTAAGGTAATCGTGAAAACATAGTTCTTTTGAAATGGTTTTATATACCTTAAAAAAGGCCTAGAAAATTATCAGAATTGTTTTTGTTAAAACAATATTTGATTAGGAAATTCTTAAAGCAAAAATGTTGGGGAAAAAGAGAAATGATAAAAAAGGCTGCATATATTTGACATATATCTATAATATACTTTTATCATAGAATTTATTAAAGTGACTTAAATAATTTTCATGAGTTATTTGAGTTAGACTAGAAACTTAATCAGACTAAAATATAAATCTAAAGTAGAATCCTAATTATTATTAAAATGATTTATTTGGAATTATTTGTGAGGAGAATCACAATATAGCTTGGTAAGTGTTCCCAAATTCCTTTCACATCCATTAATTGTTCTTATGTTTTTATTTGATGCATTCAGGATATAAAAATAAAACACTTATGCAGTGACATTGTAGATATGAGTAAAAATTCTTGCTCTGAGAGAAAGTAATTAGAGTTCCAAGATAGATAATTTGAATTACTTATTATAAATTTTGTCATTAAGGATGCTGCTGTAGAAGAGAAATTACAAAATAAGACTGAAAAACAAACTTACCAAGTATCAAGAGAATTTCAAGGTAAAAAGATTTTCTGTTTTATAAGGTAAAAATGTGAGTGTGTTTTCCCATGGTATAATTATAAATAAATGAAGAGAGTACATTTTTAAATTTGAAAATAACTCCTTGGTCAGTCATCACATAATATGGAAATATATTGACCAATATGTAAAAAATAATTTGGTGAGTTAACATTACATTACCCAGAGTTTATTTCAACTAAGATTTGTATAAAAGGGAAGTGATAACTTTGCCTCCATCACTTAACAGTATTTGGCATTATGAATTTTTAACATATCATGCCAAAAACTCATCAGGGTACCACAGAAAAAAAGATTTGTGGCATAAATAATATTTTAGCTAGATTTTTTTTTTTGAAGATTTTATTCATCCATTTGACAGAGAGAGATCACAAGTAGGCAGAGAGGCAGGCAGAGGGCTCAATCCACTCAATCCCATGACTCTGGGATCATGACCTGAGCTGAAGGCAGAGACTTAACCCACTTAGCCACCCAGGGGCCTCTTAGCTAGATTCTTTAGGTGTTTTATGTAATATATTTTAAAACAGGGTGCCTGTGTGGCTCAGTTGGTTAAGCAAATGACTCTTGATTTCAACTCAGGTCATGATCTCAGGGTCCTGAGATTGAGCCCTGCCTGGGGCTCTGTGTTGGGGGTGGAGCCTGATTAGGATTCTCCCTCGGCTCCCTGCCCCCAATGTGAGTGTGTTCCTTTTCTCTCTCTCTTAAAAAAAAAAAATATATATATATATATATATGTGTGTGTGTGTGTGTGTGTGTGTGTGTATGCATACATAAATATATACATATATGTGTATATATGTGAATATATATTAAAACTGATAAATTTGTTCTTCCTTTCCAACATATAAATTTTTATAATCAACCCATATTTTACAACATTACAACAAAATTAAATGGTTGTAATATAGAGTGCTGGAGAATTACTCTTTTATTGTGCTTTGAGTTGAGAGTTCCTCTACTGTTTTACCTATGTTACCATGTTACCTGAGATAAATAGTCCTTATTGTGATCAGGATATTTTCTTTTATTCAAAGTTTATTACAGATTTTAACCAGAAGTTGGCCTGAATTTAATCAGTCTACTAAAATTTTTTATTATGATAAAATATATATTAAAAGGAAATTTGCCATTTTAATCATCTTTTTTTTAAAGATTTTATTTATTTATTTGACAGAGATCACAAGTAGGCAGAGAGGCAGGCAGAGAGAGAGGAGGAAGCAGGGTCCCTGCTGAGCAGAGAGCAGGACGTGGGGCTCCATCCCAGGACACTGGGATCATGACCTGAGCTGAAGGCAGAGGCTTTAATCCACTGAGCCACCCAGGCACCTCTTAATCTTCTTTTAAGTGTACAATTCAGTAGCTTTGTGGATATTTACAATGTTATGGAACCATCACCACCTGTATTTCCACAACTTTTCATCACCCTAAAAAGAAATTCATTAAGCAATAACTCCCATTTCTGCCCCTATCCAGCCCCTAATAACTTCTAATTTATTTTCTATCTCTATGAACATGCCTATTATATTTCATGAGTGAAATCCTACAACATTTGTCCTTTTTTATCTGGCCTATATCACTTAACATGATGTTTTTTTATTTTATTTTATTTATTTATTTGACAGAGAGAGATATCACAAGCAGGCAAGAAGCAGGCAGAGAGAGAGAGGGAGAAGCAGGCTCCCCATTGAGCAGAGAGCCTGATGCGGGGCTCGATCCCAGAACCCTGAGATCATGACCTGAGCTGAAGGCAGAGGCTTAACACATTGAGCCACCCAGGCACCCCCAGCATAATGTTTTTAAGTTTCATCCATGATGTGTCAGAACTTCATTTCCTTGTGTAAAGGCTGGATCATATGATAATTCTAATTTTAGCTTTTTTGAGTAACTGCCCAACTGTTTTCCACAGTGGCTGTGCCATTTTATATTTCCACCAGCAATATAGAAGGATACACATTCTTGCCAACACTTGTTTTCTTTGCTCATTTAATTATAATGATTCTAGTAGGTATGAAATGAATCTCATTGTGATTTTGATTTACATTTCTCTAATTACTAAAGATGTTAAACATTTTTTATGTGCTTATTGGTCATTTGTATATCTTCTTTCGAAAAAAAATGTGTATTCATCTCCTTCACCCAGTTTATAATTGGGTTCTTTGTCTTTTTGTTGCTGATTTGTAGAGGTTCTTTATATATTCTGGAGGTTTTGTCAGACATCTGGTTTACAAATACTTCCTCCTGTTCTGTAGGTTGTCTTTTCACTTTCTTGAAAATGCCCTTTGATGCCTAAAAATAATTTTTTAAAGCTCAATTTGTCTGTTTCTTATTTTGCTGCTATGCTTTTACTGTCAATATCTGAGAATCAATTGCCAAATCTAAGATAATAGAGACTTATCCTTCTGCCTTCTTCAAAGAGCTTTATGGTTTTAGCTATTATATTTAGGTCATTGATACATTTTCAGTTAATTTTTGTATATGATGTGAAGTAGTGATACATACAACATTTTTTTTTTTTTTTTGGCCTGTGGAAATTGAGTTGTCCCAGCATTGTTTGTTGAAGAGGCTCTTCTTTTTCCATTGAATTGTATGGTGCCCTAGTCAAAAGCAGTCAACTTCATGTATGGGTTTATTTCTGTGCTCTCAATTGTATTCCACTGTTGTATATGTCTATCCACATGTCAATATCACACTGTTTTGATTTATTTTTGCTTTGTAGTGTGTGTGGGAAAGTGTAAGTTCTTAAATTTTATCTTTTTCAACATCACTTTGGCTATTTTAGACCTCTTGCAACTAAATACAAATTTTAGGATCAAATTTTTTCATTTTTTTCAAAGAAGCCTTTGGGAATTTCATAGAGAATGCACTTAATCTGTAGATCACCTTGGGAAGTATTGCCATCTTAATAATATTAAGCCCCCCAGTTCATGAACACAGATGCCTTTCCATTTTATTTAGGTCTTATTTAGTTTGTTATAGCAATATTTGATAGTTTTCAGTGTATAATTCTTGTGTAATATTATTCCTAAGTATTTTATTTTTTCTGATATACTATGATGGAATTTTTATTAAATTTCATTTTCAAATTAGTCGTTGCTGGTTTTAGAAATACAATTGATTTTACATGCTGATCTTCCATCCTGAAACTTTGCTGAATTCAATTTCTATGTGGCATCTTTGAGATTTTCTAAATATATGAACATGTCCTCTGTGAATAAAGATAGTTTTACTCCTTTTCCAATTTGGATACCTTTTATTTCTTTTTATTTTCTAACTGCTCTTGCTCAGACTTCTAGTACAATGTTGAATGGTACTGGTAAAAAACAGACATTTTTGTCTTGTTCTAATGGAGAAATCTTTCACTATTTTACCATTTAGAATGTTAGCTGTGGGTTTCATAAATGCCATTTGTCATGTCCAATTTGTGTGTAGTATTGTTCAAATCCTATATTTGTGGATCTTTTATCTGCTTGTTTCATATATTTTGGGCCTCTTTTGTGTGTGTGCTTATGTTCGTAGTTCTTATATATCCTTAATGAATGACCTTTTTGCCAATATATAATGTGATTCTTTGTCCCTTGCAGCATTTTTTAACTTTAAGTCTGTCTTGTCTGATATTAATAAAGATACCTATATCAGGGTTCTCCATAGAAACAGAAAAACATAGGATATATAGAGAGATATATAGATACAGATATAGGTCTATAAAAGGAGATTTATTATAATAATTGGCACATGCAGTCATGAAGGCCAAGGAGTCCCATGATATACTATCTGCAAGTGGAGAACCAAGGAAACTAGGGGTGTAATTTAGTCTCTGGCCAAAGGCCTCAGAACGGGGAGGCTGTGGATGGTATAAGTCCCAGTTTAAGTGAACTCCCTAGAACCTGGAATACTAATGTCTAAGGGCAGGAGAAGATGGATATCAAAGTTCAAATTGAGAAAGCAAATTCAACTTTTCTCCATCTTTCTCTTCTACTTAGGCCCTCAGTAGGAGGGCACCCTCCTATGTGCACCCACATTGATGAGGGTGATCTTAGGCTATTGATTTAAATGCAAATCTCTTCCAGAGACACCTTCACAGACACCCCCAGAAATTGTGTTTTACCAGGTATTTGGGCATTTCTTAGCCAAGTCAACACATAAAATTGATTATCACACTACTTTAGCTCTCTTGGTTAATATTTACATAGAGTTCCATCCCTTCACTTTCAATCTATTTATGTCTTTGCATGTAAAACGAATCTCTTATACACAGCATATAGGGGATTATGCAGTTTTCTTTAAACCTATCTGTCTTTTGATTGGAGAGTTTAATTAAGTGCTATTAAGGGAGAACTTACCAAGTTTATATTTGTTTTCTGAATGCCTTAAATCATTTCCCCTTCATTTCCTCTATTACTGCATTCTGTTTGGGGACTTGAATCAGCCAAGACTGTGTGCTGAATTCACTGGTGAGACAGGACCACTGGTTTTGCTCTGCAGACAGGAAAAGCCATGGGGTGTACTCTCTGTTCGAGTGCCGCTATAAGCAGGGCTGTTGGGTGGGCTACATGGCTTTCCATGTGGTATGGTTAGGTTCCCTGGTCAGTTGGACTTAAGGCCATATTCAGCAGTGGGAAGAGCTATAAATTAGTTTCCTGCACAGGCACAGGGAGAACCAGCTCCACGGCCAGAAAGGCTCTTTGTGATTTTGACTCATGCTAACCCATTCTGCAAGTTTTCTGACTGAATAGGACCACTTGCTTTGCTCTGCAAACTATCAGATCTACCTGCTGGACTCTCTGCTTGAGTGTTTCTGGGCTGTACAGATTTGCAAAACTTCTGGTTGGGCCTACAACTTGGGCACTACAGATAGGAAATCAGTCTGCCTAGATCTAAGAGCTGGTTGCTACAAGACCCACTTTGATTCCCCATCACAGTAAGTTTCCCAGTGGTCAAACCCTTCATGTTCCCTTGCAATCCTCATTGGGCAAGACTGTG